CCAGCCACTGAAGCTGTTCCACCAGGGCAGGGACCTCGTGCTTGCCATGTCTTGTCTAAACAAGGCCTTTCCCTTTGACCTGGACCTTCAGGATCCAGCCCCTAAAGAGGGGCTCCCTTTTGCCCAGGTTGGGCTCTGCTTGCTCCAGCTTCAGAGAGACCCAGGCTAAAGATGGCCAAGGCAAAGGGATTCCCCGTCCCTGCCATCCCCGGTGGAGGAAGTAGTTGGCTGAGAGTGGAGGGGAGGAGGGAGCAGTGGGAGGAAGGATTTGCTGGGCTGCCCCTCGGAACTGTGGTGTTTTGCCAACCCAGAGCAGAGCGTGTGTGTGATCCAAAGCACGAGGCCCCAGCCCAGCTGTGCAAGGGCTCTGCGGGGCCAGGATGGGGACATCAGCCCTGCTGCTTCTGTCACCCTCCATGCCTCAGCTGCCTGCGCCTCCCCACCATGGTTGTCTGGTCTGCCCTTGCCCCCCACCACGGTCCTATTGTGGTCACCCATCTTGTAGCCTCCTCCTCTACCTTCAAGAAAACCGGAGGAGAGCCCGAGGTCCAAGCCTGTCACTCTGCCTCTTCTGAGCTGGCCATAAACACGCTCGCCTGTCCCCAAGGATCTAAAAAGAGCCACAGGGGGCAGCCCAGGGGGTGGGAGACGCTCCCAGGACCAGTGTTTCACCTCCCAGGCTGCTTCACCAAAACGACTCCACCAGCGTTAACGCTGGGGTTATTTAACCGCTGTCATTTCTCCGGGAACCAGGCAAAGCCGGCCACCACAGCCCCCTGGGCCGGGCGCATTGCACGGGCACAGCAGCCGCAGGGCTTGCTGCTGCCTCCCAGCAGCTCCAGCCAGTTTGCTCTCAGCCAAGCTTCGCTGAGCCAAAACTTCAGCGAGTGGCTGTGGGAGCTGCCTCCTGCCCGGCCCTGGGACATGTGTGGGGCTCAGGGTCGGGTGGCGAGAGTACCCGGCCGGTGCCCAGGATGGCTCTGCAGGCTGCTCATCCCCGAGCAAGAGGTCTTGGAGCAAAGTAAACCTTATTTCTAACTTTCTTTACCATGTGGTTAACGTTAGTTGCTGCCAGTAGTGATAAGCAAAACTTAGCTTCAACCAGGGCCATTGCAGCAGACGTTTTGACACTTCCCACCCAGGCTGATCTTTTTAAAGACCCATCTTTCCTGGTTTAAACAGAACCGCAGAAATGCCCAGGTTGCTGGAAGCATTTTTAAAATGAGCCCAGACAGCAGCGGCCGTCGTTACCAGGAGCTGCTGAGCAAACACGCGGAGCTGAACAGGGTAGCGCGACACTTTGTGCTTCTGTTCTCTGCAAAAAAAAGGTTGAAAGACAAGGAGTGGAGAGAGCCATTTGCTGAACCTGCATATCTATTTTTACTCCCCAGCTCCATAATGTTCCTAGAATAAATTTTTTAGTGCACAGCAGGGTAGGAAAAAAATAGTTCTGATGGCATCTCTGCTATCCCCATTGTGCTGGGAGGGAAGAGGGCAGCTGCTTTGCTGACCTGTCGCTGGCATAAACCCGCATTCCAGGTACAGAGGCCATTTGCTCATCAGGGTTTTGTTTGATGAAATGGCCACCGGGTTTTATATATAGACCCTGCCTGTCCTGCCAAGTTGTCTTAAATTCTTGTAAGTTGAATGAAAGTTGGAGGAGGTGGGAGAGGATCAGCTTGAAAAATAGAGCCGCTAATCTGCCGGTGCCTCTGGGAGAGCCTGCCGGGATGTCCCGTCCCCCCCGGGGCTTTGGGCATCCCGCTGGGAGGGGGGAGCAGGTGGTGGCCCCACACTGGCCCGGGGCTGTGGGTTGCTCCATGGGCTGCTGCGGCCGCTGCTGGGGTGCCAGGGTCTTGAGTGATGAGGGGAGGTGGGGAGGAATATTTATAGCTTGTCTCAGCACCGGGCCTGGGGGGTGATGGCCATCCTGGGGATGTGAAGGGCACAAGTGTTCAGGGCAGCTCCCTGGGGACAGCGGGATGCAGCGACCGGGAGCACAAATGCCCCGATGGTAAGGGCAAGGGGTCTGCAGCACTGTCCCCGTGCGCCTTGCCGGGGTGAGCCCCCAGCCCGCCCATCGATGCGCTTTGAGCAGAGCAGGAGGAAATGCTTGGGGCTGGGCTGGGGCGAGAGCTCATGCTCAGCAATCACAGGATCATTTCATAGGATCATTTGGTTGGAAAAGACCTTTAAGATCATCAAGTCCAACCAATGCCTCAGTGGGCAGCTCCAGCCCACCCCCAAAGCCATCCCCTGGCTCAGGCTGGGCTTGCCATGCCCTTGGGCACCCATGGACCTCTGCCCCTGGCCAGGAGCACGGTTGTATGCTGAGCAGCTGCCCCCTGTTTTATCTAACCTGTTTTTGAGGATTGCACGGTTTGTCTCAGGTCATGTTTCTTTGATTATGCCAAAATAGGCAGGAAAATGCTGCCCTTGGCCCCAGCACCTTTGTGGTGGAAAAAGCCCAAAGCAGCCCCAGCCGCACAGCCAAGTGATGTCTGCCCCCGGACACCCGCTGTCTTCCCCTGGGGGTTTTGGGAAGTGACCAACAGGGAGTGGACTTGGTGTTAGTTCTTGTGTCTGCCTCATCTAAATAATTATTTTTTTCTTTCTGAAAATGCTATGAACACCGGGGGCATGTTTCACCTTTCCTTGAACAGATTATGTTTATCTCCACCTGAGTTCAAGTATCTGCTCGATACTTCATTTAATGGCACTGATGCAGATTTTTTTGTTTTAAGTAAGTGATCCCATGTCTGTGCCAAAAATCTGACTCCGGAGTCCCGGGGTAAGCAGCAGAACTGTGCCATGTTGCCAATTTTCACTGCTTCAGTATGAATTAGCAATACCTGGTACTTGTACAGAGGTTTTAGGCTCGGAGGTCGTGCCAGTAGACAGAATTTCATCTTTGAAAAGAAAAATCCTTTTACTTCTCATGATTGTAGAGCAGATCTGGGACATAGAGAGCACAGCAAAGGCCTGCTCAATGCGTCAGTGTCAAAAACCTGATGGTGTTCAACACCATTTGGTGAGCAGGGTGCGGGACTGGATCAGGGGCTTGAATGCTTGGGTTTGGCGACATCCTTAGTGGGTCTCCCAGCTTCATTGACAGATGAGCTTTTGAATCACAGAATCACAGAATGGCAGGGGTTGGAAGGGACTTCTGGAGATCATGTAGTCCACCCTCCCTGCTAAAGCAGGGTCACCCAGAGCAGGTTGCACAGGACATTGTCCAGGTGGCCTTTGATATCTCCAGAGAAGGAGACTCCACAACCCCCCTGGGCAGCCTGTTCCAGTGCTCTCTTGAATGATGAGCCAGTTTGGGCAAGAGGGGCAGATGGCCTCAGCCCATGGTGCAGGTCCTTCAGCAGAGAAGGGAGCAAGCTCCCAGGCAGAGCTAAGTGCATCCCTTCCGCTGCTTGCACTGCTGCGTTGTGTGCACGGCTCCTCTGACAGAGGAAACATACTGTGGCTGCTTCTCCATGGTGATGCCAGGGGATTTGGGGCAGTTATTTTTGGGTTTAGGGAAGATGAACAGCAGATGACTTTCCAGAGGCTGGTTCCACAGCATACATGCCCTCAGCAGCCACTGCCTGCGAGCAGTGAGGTTTCATTCCTCAAACTTGACTTTGTTTGCTGCATAGGGATTATTTGACTCTCCAGTGATACATGCCTTGTTTGCTTTGCTTTCTGGCCAGCCCTGCTGGCAACTTTTCATTCCTCCCAAGGGTATTGGTGCTGGAGACATTTAACTGACAAAATTCACGGTCTGCCAGGCACCTGTCTGTCCCGAGATTTCCCCGGCACATGGGTGTCCAGGAGCTGTGGCTTTGTTCCTCAGGGAAGTCTGACTTTGGTTTCAGCTCAGACGAATTCCTCCCTTCCTCCTCCTCCTTGGGCTGCCAGGCCCAGCGCCAAGACCAGTCGGGTCTGGAAGCCCTGGGCAGAGCATGCCTGAGCTGTCAAAATCCACACCAAACTATGAATCCTGTTGCCTTTGCTGCCTTCAGCAGTGAAATTTATTGATATCTATATGCACCAATGGGCCACGTCAGTGTTCTCCTGCAGCAGAGATTTGGTACCTGCTGAGGTGGGCACGCAGTTCCCTGGAGTATGGTCATGGTTGGTCTTCATCCTGGAAGAGGCAGGTTGCCGCACTGTGAATGTATCTTGCTTTTCTCCAGTCTGCTCAGCCTTTTGATAAACTCTGATATTGTTAAAAAATGTGTCTAAAAAGTTCATGTTGTGTCTTTTTTTTTTAAAGCCTCATAACTTGCTCAGCTTCCTGCAGTGCATTCAGAGGTACTGCTCTGGGCGCTTCTCATGTGGATCCAAGCTGACCAAGAACAGACCGCTGTAAGATCTCCTTGCTGGTGGGGAGAGTCCTCTGCTGATCTGCTTGCACCCCGGATTCACGGAAACATCACCCAGATCTTTCTGAAAGGTTTGGATTTTTGTAAAGACTTACATCAAAAATTTCAAATCCAGAAGCAAAATTCCCCAAATATCCCAGGTAACTGAAATCCATGGGAGACGATGTAAGTTTACCTTGAACCACTACACTATTGATCAGGTATTGCTGCTCCTGTAGTGCCAAAAGTAGCTGGTACTGTTGCTGGGACAGTAAGGAGGGTATCCTTGATATATCTGTTTTGCTCAAAATCCCTTAGACACCTGCGCTGGTCTCTGCATCATAAATTATTTTGAGGGATTCCCATTCATAGAAGTTGTCATTTTGATAGTGAAAATGCAACTGAGTTAATAAGTGTTCGTGAGGCGGCCTGAGGTAACACCACTGCTGCAGTGCGCCTGGCTAAGCTAATGCACCTGCTAGAAGCACCCAGGTTTGCATAACACTTTCAGTAGATTTTCTATCAACCAATATCAACCAAGCACCAACTGCACAAGCCCCTGCTCACAGCACAGGTGAGTCCTAGTAGGAAAAGGGCTTTCAAAGATGACTCTGAGGCACGTTTCAGCCCTTGGTGTTCATGGCTACAGCTCTTCTCTGACCGCTCCATCCTGACATGGCTCATGCAGAGCACAACACGTATCATCTCAGCCTGGCCAGTCCTGCACGGGAGGTTTGGCACCAAACCCCTTGGAAACTCCCACACCTACACCCCTTTGTACATCCAAGATGGAGCATGGTTGTACCTGCATATTCCCATTGATAACACGGGAATGAGAGCAGGTCTTCCTCCAACTAGTTCCCTTTGCTTGAAGGAGGTTGTGCTCTTGGGCTGTAGAAGCCTTCAGAGCCCTGGGAAGGGACCTCCCCCCCTCTTCAAGGTCCTCCTGCACTGAGGATGGGGAACATGCACCACTGAGAAATACTGCAAATGTGACTGAACACTGCCAGCGATGTGGGTGCTGTTTGGTGGGGTTCTGCTGCTGCAACTTCCATGCGAACCATTAGCTTTGTCTTAAAAATGCATATATATCTCTGTATCTTCTAGTTCAAACATCCCTTTCTGAACCGTCCCCCTAGAAAAAAAAAAATCTGTTTTGCTCTTCAGTGCTCTCGCTTTGTCCAGCCGTGAGCAGCAGCACGTACGCCGCTGGGGCAAGAAGGCTGAAGTTTGCTTTTATTCCAGGTCAGGCTCATTTACCATGTAACCTTGACGGGGGAATAGCTTCCCTGAAATCGCCGAGTTTGCTAATAGATGAACACTTTGTACATAGGTGGTGTGGTGACGTTGGTGCCCTGCAACTGGCTTGTTTAGCGCAATAAAAATATATTGGGTTCCTAAGATGTTGACCAATGGGTTTGGGAAACAGATGATTGATTCACACAGCTGAGAAACAGGGATTGTAATATGTTTTGCCAGAGGAGACCAGTTTGACGGATGAGTTCATTTAAGGATTATGCTATAGATAGAGCTGTTGACAGAATGAATTTGTTTTTATTTTTCATCAGTAGGTATAACACAAAGCAGAACTAATTGAAAGTAGTTTCCTTGTGGCATCTGGTTGTGTTTCTTGCTTTAAGTCTTTCACACACTGTAAAATTACACCAAGGGCTTTTCTTCACTTCCATTTGCTTTCCAAGTTTTCCATCACTGCTTTTCGAATGGGTTCCCAGTGTGTCGGACACGTTAAGAAATTGCAGACTACACGAGAAATGGAGCTGGGCCGTCATTTCTGCTTATTGCACAAATGTTCTGGTGCACACCACAAATCCACGCCTTGAGCAGACGCACTGAGGTGTCCTCACCTTAGGGCTGATGGCAAAGCTGAAACACGAACGCCCTTCCAGGTATTTTTGATGGCATTTTAAGCTGTGACCTGTGCTAAATATCATTCCTATGTGGCCTGATCTCTTTCTGTGTAAGGCCCAAACCTGGAAGGTGATTATGTTTACCCAAGGAGGTGTTGTGAGGTTGAAGGAAGGTGTTGAGTTAAGTTCTGGAAATAGCTTTTCCAAGCAGCTGGAGAGAACAAATCCGGGTGTTTCTTCAGGGATTTGGCTCACTGCATTCATTGCTCTCCCGGCTGGACTGCTATCGCCTGCCTGGCTCAGGTCGGGTGATTGCAGCGGGGTCTCGGCTCCGCGAGCGCTTCTCTCAGCTGTTTGTGGCTGTTGCGGGGACTGCACCGGGACCTCTGAGCTGAGATCATGCAGGCTGTCAGGGAAGAAAACTGGACTTTGTGGTTCAAACCTGTCTAACATATTTGATCTGTGGGTTTTGGCTCAGTTTTTTTTTTCTCTCTTTCTTTTCCAGTTGTGGTCAAATAAGAGTTTTCCAGACCTGACTCACATAAGACCAAAGAACAGGAATGCAGCAAGCACAGCAGCGCCTGCCAAATTGATGGAGGGAGAAAATACCCCCAGGTTCCTGCCACCAGGTCCAACACCTGAGGAGAAGAGTCCGTGTGATTTCAGGGTTACATTGCAGGCTAAATTCTAGCCTTCACTTGGCCTCAGACCTGAACTTTAAGCACCAGCCAAAACATAATCTGAATTTGAGCACTGGCTATTGGTCTATCTCGTCTTCTGCTCATCATATGTGCAGTCATTCAACAGAAGCTGAAATGTATTTTCTCTGCCAAGAGCCATTGGTTTCCAAAGAACTACATCAGCGGGGTGAGTGATGGAGTTTCCATCAACTGCTGTAGGCCAAATGCAGTCATCTGAATTCAGGTCTTGGCAGGTATAGGAACTTGGAGTTGTCAATGATTTTTATATGAAATTGTACTTAATTACAGTTTCTCATTCTGTGCTTTAGTTCTGTTGAAGCTCTTGGAATTGCAGATGAACGGGAGCTTTTTATCTCTTAGCTAGCAAGATTTTCTGTTCTTTAATTGACCTTTAAAATAATTTAGTCTGGGCTTGGATCTGGGTTAAATATAGCTGGTTATTTTCACTCCGAGTATGTAATACGAAAGAACCTAGGTATCCTTTGAATGTGTTTTGACAAGCACCGTGTCTGTGCGCAGGTATGTATTTATAAACATTTGTGCTGTGTGTATTAAAATGACACTTCCAAAATCAAGTACTTTCTCTCCTGTAGCAAAATATTTGTACAAAATGTAGTGTTAGGTTTCCAAAAAAATGGGCAGTTCAAAGAGAGTAAGACACTTCTTGGAAAGAAGCTAGCAAGGAGGGGACATGGATTGAGTCCTTGGTAGTTGTGAAGCGAACACGGAGCCGTTATTCACTTTATCCTACAAAACCAGGACTAGATGGTGCCTGAAGAAAGTGCCCGACAGCGAGGTTAAAGGAAGCAAAAGAAGCTACTTTTTTAACAGGCTTCATGGCACTGCAGGACGCCTTGCTAGTGGTGGTGTGGTGGCCAAAGCTTTCAAAAGGCAGGATAACTCATGGAAACCAGCACAGACGGTGGCTGTTCACTGCAGAAGCCATATGGATACAACATCTGTCTTCAGAAGACCCTAGTCTTGGGCAAGAAGTTGGCTGGGTGTGGGACAATTGCTCTTCCCTTTCCGATACTTGTTTCCAAAGCATTTGGTACTGACTACTGTCAGAGATGAGATGCTGAGCTCCTGTTCTTATTAAATATCATCATTCTTATCTCCCTAATTTATATGAAAAGCCCATGAATTCAAAGGAACTACTGTCTGCAAATCAGAAGCAAGATCCCAACAGCTTCTTGCCTCCAATCCCTTGCCTAAGGCTGATTTCAGTTCAAAAAAGGAGCGACAAAAAAAAGGGAGAATAAATTTGAAGTATTTGGCAACAGTTTCCTCTGTGTTTCCCAGCACAAAGTGCCTCTCCCTTGACCTTCTCTTCCCTTTTCTTCCTGATAGCAGAGACACCCCAACCGACCTGGGAACCCCTCATCTTTCCATATTCCAGAGATGGGAAACATTTAGCTGATTTCTTTTTTCCTGTGGCTGTTACTTCAGCTTCCAGTTTTAGAGACCACAGGCCAAACCAGCGTGAAGAGGAGTCACAAACACCAGTCTCCGGCAATGCCAACATTCAGTGTTTTGTCTGCATTGACTAACGCAATGCCACGAGTTCTGGGGATGGTGCTTTAAGCATGGATGAGGTCTTCACTCCAGCGATGCTCGTTGTCCTGCAGATTGCTCTGCTGGAAGGTTTGTTCAAGCAGATGCTTCTTCTGACAGCACTGCATGCAAGTATGCACCTTTGTGGCATTAAAATGGGGGGACTAGAGCTGGGTGAGGAAATTGAGATATTTTTGCCTCTTTGAAGGACGTTGCTGGGATAGCAGGGGACTATAATAAAACCTGAGATTAGCTAGTGAGACTTTAGGCACAGTCACGCTTGTACAGTCTTGTAGTTCATAGGAATATGGCCAGATTCCTGTAAGCAGATGAATCCTCTGCTGGTGCTCACCATTTCTGATGTTTTTTGGAGCCACCAGGAAACCGCCTGGCCAGCAGCATGTCAATACTCGGCCACTGCATATTTGCATATTGTGTAAATGCAATTATTTGGAACCAATTCTTCCCTTGCAGGCCTTCACTTTCTGGAGAAAAAAAAAAAAAAAGCTGTTGAATCTAATCCATAAAATGAAAAACTGGGGGAACAAAGTCCTACATAGTGGAGGAATCCTCTGGTTCTGAAAGAGCCAAGGGGTTTGAGTGGTGGCAGTGCCAGGACTGAGGCCTTTCTCACTCCTCTAAATGCCAGTACAAGAGGCAATCTGGCTATCATAGGAGGAGATGCCCACTGAGGGAGCTGGTCCTCGTGAGCTTCACCCACCATCTCCTTGAGCAGGAACAGCTTGGAAAGAACTTGAGACTGAGCATGATCAGACTGAATGTAATTTCACGTGCCCACATTCTTCGTACCTGCCTTTTATCTCCCAGCCATCACTTCTCATAGAATCACAGAATCATATAATTGTTTAGCTTGTAAAAGG